ACAGGTCTGATCTGGAGTATGCAGACGACATTGCGCTACTAAGTGAAGATCCAGATAAGTTGCCAGCTTTTCTGGGTAGTTTGATTGCTAGTGTAACCATGTTTGGTATGCGTTTTGCACCTTCAAAGTGTAAAATGTTGCTACAAGATTGGGTTGGCTCAGCACCGCGTCTCACCCTAACTGGGGAAGTAGACAAATTTTGCTATCTGGGCAGCTATATCTCGCCTGGCGGACGCATTACAGATGAAGTGTCGGCGCGCATACAAAAGGCTCGGTTGTCATTTGCCAACTTGAGACATCTGTAGCGCCGTCGCGATATTCGGTTGTCTTTGAAGGGTCAAGTATATGCTGCAACAGTTCGGCCACTGTTGCTCTAAGGTGCAGAGACTTGGCCACTAAGGGAACAGGATAAAAATAGATTTTCGGTGTTCGAATACCGCTGTCTACGTAGCATTGCACGAGTGAGCGATGTTTGCCCAGGCTGGCAGCTGTTGGAAAAAGACCAAAGGCCGTCAAACTAAGACCTGGCAGGAGGGTATAAAAACCCTGACCAGGATTCTAGCTCACATAGGTCCCGTTAGGCTCCCTGGCTGGGGACCCCGAGATCATGGTCACCGATGGCTAGAGACACTGAGCGATATGGCTGGGTGTCGAAAACAGTGGCGCTTATGCATCTACGCATTATTCTTGTAACATCAGTCTATGTAAGTGCGCTATCTTCCGCTTGAATCTGCTGTCAACATTTTAAGCTTCATTCTGCTATTTTGTCCAAATGGCGCATCAAAAGTTAGCAACGAAAACCGGTGCACGAAAGTGTATGGTTAATGGTTGTAAGAACTGAACCGAAGTAAATATATCACAGTAAAGTTCACGCTTACTGCGTGTAAATAAGGCATCTCTTCCCCTCCCCCAGTGTATTTTCATGCATTTTTTCTTGTGTTTGTCTCTGTTTTTATTGATAATTTGTTCCATATGGTTCATCAATGGTTTCTTCATTGGTCTTGGGTCCTTCTGCATTATAGCTGTGCATCGAACCCTTATTGACGCGCTGCGAACCACATTCGTCTGGTTGTGTAGTCTCATTTTGTACTATTCGACAAAAGGCCAATTTGGAGAACCGTTTGACGTTAGCTGGGGCCTGATTCAAAGTAAGTTCCGTTCAGTCTCTCTCTTCGACCTCGTCATCACCAAAAAAGCGTCATTTGCATGTTTACGTGCTGAGTTACTTTGGTATGATTCTAAACTTACAATTGCAGACTTTATTGTAAGTTGTACTAAACTGATTTCAACTGATCATCCGTCAGATTTCATTTTTATGCCCAATCTTCTGAGTGTCTCTAACAATGGTGCTCATGTGTCAACTCAATGTCCTTGTAATCGTGGTCTTCATGAATTCTCTATTGTCACCGTGACACTAATGTTAACATCCCAATCTTCCCTTTACTCCTTCATTCAAATGGGAAAATGAGACAGCAACCCAAACCAACACGCGAAAGTGCATAGTTGGTAATTGTAAAAACTGACTAACCTGACAATCGTTTGTTTATCTAATCAAGATAATACACTTGAAGAGTGTAAGCATATCTGACATCTTATCCACTGCTGTTTCAATCAGAACACATCTGAATTGACAAGACTAACCTCGTTAAGTTTGTTCAGATGTCATTTTCAACGATAGTCAGACGGTTCATTTGGCCAGACACCCACGAAAGAGTACATTGCAACGTGGCATCTATTAACTCCAGCCGAATCGTAATTCCGTGTTAGCCTTCTGCTCACGAACAACTGTGAGCTAGAATACAGATAGTTGTTATGCCTTTAAATTCATTTTACGAATAGCATATTTACATGGAGTCGTTGACGGGTTAATGCATACACCTGTGTGTGTGCACTGTACGGATGTGTACAATTATTGCTGATTGATGTTTCACATGTTATTTCTACAACAAAAAGTATTGGAAATCAGTTCTCTAAGCCTGGGCGAGCGGAATTCAGTTCGCCTGTTCGCCGGGCTTGGCAATTTGCAAACGTTTCATCACCAACCGAGGTGACATCTTCAGTGCTTGTGAAGTGTTAGCGTCCTGTATATGCCCGTTCGCTTAGATATATATATATCTATATATATATATGCTCTTCTTCAGCGACTCTTTCTGTCGCTTGGAAAAGAGAGAATTGTTCTTTCAAAGGGTAAATTCGTCATGTATATTGCAAATGAAGCGTGAAGTGAAAAGCTAGGAAGCACTGGACAGCTGTTTCCACTTGGTTCTTCTCTCCGAGTTGTGGATCGTCCTACTCCTATTTTAAGCATAACAGAATCCGACACGAATAGCCACATGCTGTGGTTTTTCAACGGTAAAGACCTTTGCCATACTACTTCCATTAGGTTCGATTCTCTGAACTGTCACTTGATCATTGATTTCGATAATTAGCAGTATACAAATGTGTATACATAATACTGAATGATTAAATGATTAAAACATTAGTCATCCTATGATGTCGAATTGTCACATACCTCAATGATGCTAAGCTTTTGTTGCACTGTACAATGGTATCCTTGTTAGTTATCATCCACTCAAAATTCTCGTGCCCGAACCCTCACGTGTAGGATTGTAAAACTCACATGTTACCACTGGACCCCCTGAGCCAGCTACAGTAGTTGGTTTCACATCAACATTACGCAACCTAGCACCCATCCGTCTCTGCCATTGGATTTGGCTAATCGTTACCTAGACAGAAATAGATCCCCTAATTCCTTCTCTTAAATTCGTTAGTTTATTACTACATCACTTCAAATAATTTTCAGCCTCTAGTCTCACCCAACTCTGTCTGCTCAATACACAATGCATTCAACTCACAACTCAATTACTTGACCGCATGCCTTATTTCATTCCCTCATCTATTCTGACTGTAGGAATTCAATCACCCGTGCATAATACTATTCATAGTCTCGTTAGTCTTGAAATTTACTCTCTCTCTCTTTCTCTCTCTCTCTCTCTCTCTCTCTCTCTCTATATATATATATATATATATATATATATATATATATATATTCATGATTGACTAGGACAGTGGTTACAGAAATAAGTTGAATTTTCACGGTCGTATCTATTCGAGCGTCATACTATACCATGAGAACAAATTCTATCCACACAGAACTTGGTTGACTTGAATGAAAAACGCCATTCACCCCCTCAGTCTGATCACATTAGTATTACTTGTNATAACAAAATTGACATCCATTCATTTCTTCCTTTCCTCTATCTTTCATCTGACTACAGTTGACGGCTTTGCTTGCCTCATCATCGGCACTTTGATCTACAACAAGGTGATGAATTTGTCCTTTATTCGAGGCTGTGGAGATCCACCGGAGGACTTGCTCCCGGTCGTGGATGTGACCGAACAAGAGGTCGATCAGTATTTAAATGAACCCAGTGTGGCCGATGGAGATGAAAGGCCCATCCTATCTGCAACTGGCTACAATCAATCGACTCGGTTGTAGTCCTATGTGTTTGTACTAGCAAGATGGGATTACCACTGAAACGACTTGTCCGAAGTCTGCCGCATCACTTCCAATCCTAATTAACTAGCAAGACCAGTTCTTCTTTGTACGTTACTCGTCCGCTTTTGTACCCGTGTGTGCAGACTATGGTGAACGTTACTACAGTCTCCTCCAGATCGGATTTAATCAGCTGTCATTTCAGTACTGAAAATTTTTTATCTGGCACGACTGTGTCTTGTGACTTACTAATATGCGTCAGACTCGCTCTCATTTTCGTATATGAACATGCACAGTTTTCCACCTTAGTACTTATTGTCATTTCTGCCCCACCCGCAACTCAGAACTCTCAAACCTGAATCATTCGTTGGCGTCAATTTTTCACGTTGACATATGCACCTGTACAATCTTTGAGAATTTTCTGGATACACCACCTCCCCAAATGATTCTTTCCCCTACTTTTGAATCATTTTCTATCTATCACTGTTATGATCAACTTGTTCCGAGGTTGTTCTTTTTCGGCAAATTAATTCATTTTGAGCTCTAGATCATAACAAACTTGATTGGAATATTCTTTCCGCGCTGATGAATTAGGTAAATGATTCCTGTTTCCATACGTAAGGATCTCAGGGATGAGGAGTGGCATAATGGGATTGAACCTCTTTCACCGGGCTCAGCACATCTGATGTGTATCTTTGTCGGCCAGAAGTACACAAATTCATTGTGAGCCCTGACGAATGTGCATTAAATCGTAGCTCTGCGCTCCTATTAAACAACAAGAATTGCTCATGCCTTACGATTGTTGCAGCCCTATTCAAACGAAAGATTTGCAGGGATCTTATTCGCTTCTAAAGAGCATCGTCTTCAAAATAAAGTAACAGCGGGTTGTGAATCACTTTGTCCCGATTTTTCGGTAAAACGACAAAAAAGTCTAGCTTTAAAAACCTCAATTAAAGTTTGACGAACAGAAAATCCGGCAGTTTGTAGCAGTTGTGGTGTGATGTTTTTTATTGTACACCTAAGTGTGATGAACAGCAGACGGGGCGAAACCCATTGTCACGAGGACCTGCTGTTCAGTGGTGGAAACCGGCAACCTAAGCCCCGAGACTTGGAGTGGCGAGCCACATAAGGCCTCGCTAGGTTAGGCGTGGTATTGAGCCGGACGACAGCAGAGCTGCCTACCATCAAAGTTGGGTGGTGGTTGCGGGGCTCGGACCATAGGGTCCAAAGCACGCCTATGACAGCGACTAAACCACTGCGCCACCACCAATCCTGTGATCGAGATAATTAATCACTCCATACAGATAATGCATAGTCATTGTCCAAATTCAGGTTGCTGTTCGATTACAGAAAAGCGGCCGAAATTGGTGTGATGATGCAGTACTGCAACCGGATGGTGATTGTTGCGCCGTAAATGGTCACTCAACCAAGTCTCAGACGCAAATTCGATCAGAAGCGCTTAAGGGTAGTTGAGGAACTAGGTGTATGCAGATGATTATCTTATGCTTTAGTGGTCAAAAGTCATCCATAATAAATCGAAAGAAACATAAAATGGAGGCGGGGATCTTACTCAAAATGTTTCCGTTATTAAGAACATTCGTCATCAAACTGTTTGTCTGTTTTTAATAGTAATGCCTAGCTGCTTCAGCAAAACCCGTTATTCTTAATGAATTGAACTCGTCTCATTGAAATTCTAGCCCAGATTGATATTTGAAATTTGCGCACTAGATTTTTTGAAACCCACCAGGACCAAGTGAGTAAAACCAGCGTGATTCCAACAGCATTTTGTGCACTATCCGTAAACTTTACCTGCGAACATTAGGTGTAATTTTGTCGAATTCCCTTGCATCAGGTAGCCTTAGTAATCATCACATCAACTCCGAACTCGTGTCTAGTCAGATCCGACCAAAACCGTCTAGCATTTCCAGTTCCAAGTGATTTGAGGTATATTTTGATCGGCCACGGCCTCCTTGAACATTTGCTGTACTGTCGTCACTTCACTGACAGTGGAAGCATGTTCTGCTAATGGACTGTTGGTATTGATTTTTGACTAACCATTCATTTGACCTCATCTTCATGTTCAGTTCTCTCCCAGTCGGGCTCATAAAAACAAACGCTGCTAAAAACACATCTATCTTGTGAAACACCATACTTAAATTTCACTTTCAGCTGAGTTCATCTTATCCAACGGCCACCCTGTCCGGAGTTTCAAAACCGCAAGATTCCTTGTTGCGTGGATAGGTTTGTTTCAACTATCTCACGCCGGAATTACTTATTCAGATTTCCGGCATCGCTAGTCGCAAATACTTGTGAGTATGATTGCTGCTCTCATTCTTGATTCAATTGACCGCATTTTCAAATAGTAGCTCAGGGATTTACATAACGGAAATTTAGTTCTTTCTGGTATGATTGAGTTGCGGTGCACGCAATAACTTCCCAAAGGTGGGTTATGTCGTATCGGGTATATCCGGTTAAGTGAGTAGTATACCTGAGTTTTACCCTCAGTTAGGTCAGTGATCCGCACAGCAAATGAGCAACCCAATCAGGTCGAAACAGCTGTCCCGTGCTTCGTAGCTTTTCAGTTCACGCTCTTCATTTGCTCTATACACGACAAAAGGCATCATATGTATTGCTGTCTGAAACCTTCGTCTAACAATTAACTGAACATAATGCATGCATGTGATCCAACTAGACTAATTCTAGGGTCGTCCGGTGCAATTACTCTAACCGTTTACCTGGTGAGGACAGTTTTGGATACGCGCTTACACGTACTTCCATCTCCGTTTGCTCACCCTCGTCGACCAATCATTCCGGAATGTAGAGATCAAGAGAAGTCCGATCGACCTGGTGAGAACTGTCTATCATGTTCACAAGTTTGTTCTAACAGACTGTAACGAGTTTGTTATGTACCTGAAGTTTTACGGGCTGATAAGACGAAGTTATATAGAGCTCAAAAGTTTTAACACATCGGTCCATATTTACCCAAACCGCAATGCAAGATTTTCCGATAACTACTGTTAGGTATTGTTGATGACCTTGTCCAATTCAAGCAAAGGGAGGGGGTTATAACTTTCAAAATATTAAATATACAGCAAAAAAGGGTGCTATACAAAATCGAATTTTATGCGCACATAATCTTCACCTGGTTGAAAATTCGAGGCACAACGCCATCCAGCACTATTTCATGATGAGAAAGCTTATACTTATTCATGCTCAATGATTTATGATCCAGGTATATATACATGAGTGAACCAAATGTCTGGTCTTTAAGGTTCTCCGATCCGTACCTGATCGTTGGCAGATCTTTCTCTATCGGAGCGTACCTTTGTTCGCCGGGTTTACTTCGATAATCAAGCGGGCATTCATTTCAAAGAAGCTTGGGGCCTAAGCAAATTTACTAATGTCACCCTGCATACACCGAGGCAAACTGGGATCGAAGTAAGCCAGTATTGCAGCTTTCATCATAAGCTGCTTGGTGTAATCGAAGTCCGCTTGTAGTTCACGGGTTCAGTTTTGATGCACCAATCGTCGAATGCACCAGAACAATTCCACTAGTTTTGTTAGAGATCTGTTGAGATGGATGAGGATTCCGCTAATTCATGAGAGACTCAGAAAGGTACACTTTCGGCGGGGCCTTTGAATTCGGTTGTGCGGTCCGTTGCATCGTCAAACTGGGAACTACACAATCACTCTTCAATTGTATTTTATCTAGGGTACACTTCCTTTATTGCAATAGAAACGTTATGCTACTATGGCCATCCTAAATTCTGTGAAATACTCTGCTGCCTTCATGAAGCAACCTCAAATTTCCAGCCACTGGATTTTACTTTCTTTTGGCCAATCCGTTCGTAACCGAGAGAGAAGAATTAACGCAAATTTCAAAACACTTCCCAGAAAACATCGAGCTGGAGGTCGCAATACGCAAAAGATCAGTATCAGACATCCGCATTCCAGCAGTCATCAGTGGAAATGTGCGCTCCCTGCTTTGTAATATGGCAGAAGTAATTGATCTGACTAGGAAACGTGGATATTCAATGATTTGAGTCGTAATGCTTTAAAAGAGCTGGCTCCACAATGAAATCGATGATAACGTTGTCAAAATCGACAGCTTCTCCATCTGCCGAGTTGACCTACCTGTTCCAGTTCATAAACGAGGTGGTGGTGTTATCACATACATCAATGACGACTGGTGCAAATCAGGCAAACGAGTTTTCGTGCATTCTACTAGTTTTACCGGTAATTCTCTGTATAAATGTAGACCTAAATATCGGAAGATTAATTTTGTTAGCGTTTACATTTCTCCTCGTTCCACTGCTCACTTCAATGAGTTCACAGATTTCTTCTCCACCGCTTTGATAAATTACGTAGGCTCCTCCCTTTGTATCCTGTGAGGTGACTTCAATATGTTTGATGTCAGGTTTTTGACTACCATTGTACTATACAACGTTGTTAACCTTCGGACCAGACTCGGGACTTGTTTTGATCTATTTCGTTAACGATTCGAATTTATTTAAGTTGCGCAACCGTTCCTCTATTGGCACCTCGGATCATGCAACACTGAAACTATCTCCAATTATCAAATAGAACAAGGAGTGGCGAACAAGCTCGTTTTCAGTGATTCGTAGTCATGCCAAAT